TTGTGCAATGTCCGTCTTGCTGTCCGTCTTGCTGTCCGTCCGTCTGTCCGTCCGTCCGTCTGTCCGTCTGTCCGTCTGTCCGTATGAACGCAATCTATTTCGGCGCTATTGAAGCTAGAGACTTGAAATTTGGAGCACATACTCGTGTATATCTCCGATTTCCGCCCACTAGGGGCGTGGCAAATCGGAAAATGCATTTTCCGATATACCAGAAATCATATAAGTTGAAGAGCTAGAAAGCTGAAATTTGGTATGTAGGTCCGCGTCGACAACCCAAGATCACAAGCTATGGCGGATATATCTCCGCCCATTGGGGGCGTGGCAAATCGGATAAAACTGTATCTCCTAAAGTTGTAAACCTAGAATGCTGAAATTTTGCATGTCAGCTAATGTTATGATTCTATAATGTCTAAAATTAAAATTATAAGTCTACACCCATTAGGGGCGTGGCAAATCGGACCTGAAGATATAATGATTTTTCAAATTCTGCTATTTTTTGGACACTATTGATGCCAGAGATCTCAAATTTTGTATATATACTCGGGCTGATCACCCAAGACCAAAAAGCTTTGTCGGATATATGTCCGCCCGCAGGGGGCGTGGCAAACCGCAAAAATGTATATCTTCTAAAGTATAATAGCTAGAAGCTTCAAATTTAGATAGTTGAGTTACTGGTAGCCTCCTCTATCGATATAATTTTTACGCCTCTTTAGGGGCGTGGCATACCGAAAAATACCCTGTAATTTTCACTTTTTTTGAGAGTAAGCATTCAAACTTTGCAGTTAGGGTACTGTTATCTCGTTCTAGAAACTGACCAAAAATGAGGTGTCTACGCCCAGTAGGGGCGTGGCAAATCGGAAAAGCCTGTATATTCTACAGTATTAGAGCGAAACTTAACTACTAAATTGTTGATGGGATGTGAATGAGTATTCCGCAGTCGGTAACGCCCGACTGCAACGTTCTTACTTGTTATTAGTTGGGTTCAGGGTAGTATCTAGTCGAGCACTCTCGACTACAGTTTTCTTACTTGTTTTTAATTTTTTTGTTTATTTATTTTTTTGTTAAGAATTATTTTAAATATTGTGTTAGATATAGTTAATAAATCTACATTTAATATATTTTTTTAAGTTTTCTTACTAACACTTTCTTTTTATAGCTTGATTAGTATCACTGACCATATTTGGCTGTGAGACGTGGGCATAGCTGGCCAGACTGGCAAATAAAATACCTCCATCGGGTCGGTGTACTATTGAATTTTTATTCTGTACTTAGTTTAGGCTTTTTTTAATTTAATTGACTCCCGTTTTTGTCAATAGCTTTAAGAAAATAAATAAATAAATAAAATAAATAAATAAATAAACTTCTATCTTTCGCAGATCGTCTCGGGCCATGGATGCTTTCGGAGCTATTTGAAGCGCTTTGGTCACGAGGAAACTGACGAGTGCCCCTGGTGCGGGCGAGGGCATGTGGAAGACGCCAACCACATTCTTTTCATATGTGGACGGTTCCTGGAGGAGAGGCGTCGTCTAGAAGAGGCACTGGGCCACTCCATCAGAGCGGACAACATAGTCAACGCCATGCTGGAATCGGAGGAAGCTTGGGAACTAACAAGCACCTTCGCGGCCACAGTGATGATGGATCTCCGCAGAGTCGAGCGAATAAGAAGACGAGCTGTACCAGTGCTTGCGAAGCAATGCTTTACGGCCGTCCCGCAAGCATCGCGCGCTATCCGAGCCACCAGTCAACTTGCAACTAGTAGCATAATAAAATTGTCAATAAACGAATATAAAACAAGTAAGAACGTTGCAGTCGGGCGATACCGATTGCAGAAGACTCATTCACAGCCCAAACGCTTTCAACCAGAGTATATAGTGCAATTTTCAAGTCTAGTGCCCAGCAAAAAACACGGCACGATGCCATTAAAATTGGAAAATCATCGATAGCTATTGCATTCAAATTACATACATATATAATTTATACAATTTTGATTTTTATTATATATTTATATCCATACATTGGATACCGGCTTCAAGCTAGCAGCAGATCAGCGCGATTTTACTATACATGTGCACACACTCATCGTCTATTCTATGCGTACAGACAGAAGCGCGCCTTTTCTCACATTCTTAGAATTTCGATTGATTTCTGGACTTTCCGTACTGTAGTTTTGTCTGATGACGCTCTCTTATTAAGCTATTCTATTTTAGCAGCTGTGTGTGTGCATATGTATAGGAAAATCGCGCTGATCTGCTGCTAGCTTGAAGCCGGTATACAATATATGTATATAAATATATATTTGTATGTAATTTGAAGATTCTAGCTGCAATGATGCGATGATGATAGCAGCAGCTATCGATGTTTTCCAATTTTAATGGGATCATGCCCTGTTTTTTGTTGCGCACTAGACTTGAAAAATTAAGGAAAATAAATCAGGGAGCTCCTCCACATTGAATTTGATATCCGAATGCAAGAATGAAAACAAGACAACGCCTCTGTACATAGCATTGTCTCTGAAAGGCAAAGTTATATACTATAAAAGCATATTTATAGATCTATTACTTTGGCATTTTCTGTATTCTTTTCGTCAATTGTTTTGGACTCTACAATGAGTGCGTCATCGTACGGCCGGTGAATGAGCGGGGTTGAAGCATTAAACCGATCATATGGAAAAAATATTTATATAATATACTTATATTATTTGTATATGTATAAATGAAGAAAATTGTTGCAATAGATTAGTTATAAATAGCACTGCTACCTTGATTTTCAGTACAGAAAATTTTAGTGGCAATGGGATGATAAATATATGAAATTTAAAAATTAACCATAGACTGGATTATGATCAAGAAGGAGAACTGCATAGCGGCGAAAGGGGGATTGGTAGAATACATAAACATATGTATATATACATATAGACTTGAACCCATTTTCAATGGGAAATCAGGGTATAATGGTTTTGTTACATGTATGCAACAGGCAGAAGGAGGCGACGAGCTGAGTCGATTTAGCTCTGTCCGTCTGTCCATCCGACCGCCTGTCCGTATGTTTGAGCGCGTCGATCTCAGAAGATATAAGAGTTAGAGACTTGAAATTTGTTTTCCTAGGTCCGTGTATAACACGCGCATATCGAGTTTTGTTTTAAATAGGGATAACTTGCCCCGTTCTTTTGTTATTGATTAAAAACCTTATCGAAAACCAGTAATAAATTTATATCACCTACGTCTTTAAAGCTAGTCTCCAAATTTTTTATGTATACCTATATGCATTTTATACAATTTCGGGTTTTGTCAAAATTTACCCCACCTCTAATTCACCCCCTCACCATCGCCTTTGTAAAAGGCGTATTTCAAATACTAGTGCTTTGACTAATATAATCATGTTATAATCATAATCATGGAGATCATATACCCACTAAAAAGTTTATTAAACAATTAAATTCTCATAGTAAGCGCATACTGCAGCCCATGCGTGTTTAGCCGTGGGTGCTTGCGTGTGTGTGTGTTACAAAGAAATTGTCAGCCCAAGCGCAGTCGCTGCTAACTGCGTAGTTATCAGACCGCGTGCCTTTACGTGCGTGTGGATGTGTGTGTGCATGTTTATACTCATTCACGAAAGTGAACCAGTATATTGGTTTTGTGCAATGTCCGTCTTGCTGTCCGTCCGTCTGTCCGTCTGTCCGTATGAACGCAATCTATTTCGGCGCTATTGAAGCTAAAGACTTGAAATTTGGAACACATACTCGTGTGTATCTCCACAAAACCAATATACTGATTCACTTTCGCGAATGGGTATAATTACAAGTCTACGCCCATTAGGGGCGTGGCAAATCGGAACTGAAGATATAGTGATTTTTTAAATTCTGCTATATTTTGGACACTATTTATGCTAGAGATCTGAAATTTTGTATATATACTCGGGTTGATCACCCAAGTCCAACGAGCTATGGTAGATATATGTCCGCCCACAGGGGGCGGGGCAAACTTAACTACTAAATGGTTGATGGGATGTGAATGAGTATTCCGCAGTCGGTAACGGCCGAATGCAACGTTCTTCTTCAATGGGAAATCAGGGTATAATGGTTTCGTTGAAATGTATGTAACAGGCAGAAGGAGGCGCGGCAGACCCCATAAAGTATATATATTCTTGATCAGGGCGACGAGCTGAGTTGATTTGGCCCTGTCCGTCTGTCTGTCCGTCCGTCTGTCCGTCTGTCCGTCTGTCCGTATGTATGAACGCGTCGATTTCAGAAGATATAAGAGCTAGAGACTTCAAATTTTTTTTTTTAATGTCCGTAATTTCAGCGCGAATATCAAGTTTATCATTAAAAATCGATCTCATCCCGATCTTTTTTATCAATAAAAAACCTTATCGAATACCAGTTATAAAATTATATCTTCTACACCTTTATTGCTAGAGTCTCCAAATTTTTAATGTATGCTTATATGCAGTTTATACAATTTCGTTTTTTGTTAAAATTTACCCCCCACCCTTAAATTCACCCCCTCACCCTCACTTTTGTAAAAAGCGTATTTCAAATACTAGAGACTTGTGCTTTGGCAATTACATGCATATCCATTATAATCATAATCTGAAAGTTTCATCGTACGTCCACAAAAAAAGTTATTAAGCAATTCAGTTCTCATAGTAAGCGCTCACTGCCGCCCATGCGTGTTTATGCTTGTATATGTGTGTATATGTATGTAATTGTTTGTGTATGTGTGTGTGTTTGTGTTTGTGTGTGTGTGTGTGTGTGTGTGTGTGTGTGTGTGTGCGTGTTTCTTGTGTAAGCTGAAAGACGCGAAAAATTATTGAAATGGCTATTACTCCAAGGGTTCAGGGGATCTCGTAGTCGAGTAGTCTCGACTAGAGCTTTCTTACTTGTTTTTTGTATGTGCTCATAAATAAAGTGGTTCAGGGTTTCTCCTAGTGGAGCAGTCTCGACTAGAACAGTCTTAATTGTTAAAAACTGATTTTAATAAACATTATTAGTTTTAATTTACCTGTCTGATAAGAGATGCATATGTAAAAGGGGGACGCACGTCAGCATTTTTATAAAATTCCCTATTGCGTTGAATTTCTGAAAATTGAGAATGATTTGTCAGTAAAAGAAGTAACAATGTTGTAGGCGATATCGACTGAAAACGCCGCTGGCACCAAAAATGATTATTATACATATGCATACACATTTAGAATTTGTCACATTTGGTATACATAGTATGTATACAGCATATGATACGTTTTTGCAGAGAACACTTAGACACGCAGTGAAAAGCTTTTTGCAGACTTTTTTTTTTTCGATTATTCCGACACCAGATGACTTCGTATTTGTTTGGCTCGTCATCACTTTTAAGTTCGGGCTACGAAAATATATGAAAGTACAATCATTTCGCTTTATGCGCTCGTCCGAGATGGTCGAAAGTTGAACAAAAGATGCCTCTACGCTTAACTTTTTTCTTGCTCTTCCTCTCTCTCTCTCTCTCTCTTTGCTCTCTGCTCTTTGCTCTCACAAATATTTATATGTAAGTATGTAAAAACTTAATTATCTTCGCAGCAAGAACTCATGTCTTCCCTTCTGTCTGAAGAGTATACCTAACGCTTAAAATCGTTTGCCATGCTCATGCAAAATGTTTGCATTTTCGTTATTATTTGTGGTAAGGGTATGAAAGCGTTGGTGCGCATTAAGAAAATGTTTTCACGACGAGCATGTACACACACTTTTATCACGATTAAATGAATTAATAGGTATTGATAGCACGCAAGGCAACATTTTTATAGATTTAAAAAAATATATATATTAAATTCTGAATCTTTAACAAGTAAGAAAGCTATAGTCGAGACTGCCCGACTACGAGATCCCCTGAACCTTTCGAGCAATAGCTGTTTCTATAATTTTTCGCGTCTTTCTGCTTACACAAAACACACACACACACGCACACACACACACGCATACACACACACAAGCATACAAACACACAAGCATACTCACACACATCATACACACACACGCAAAAAACGAAATTGTATAAATTGCATATCACTATACATTTAAAATTTGGAGACTGTAGCTCCAAAGATGTAGGAGATATAACTTTGTTACTGATTTTCGATAAAGTTTTTTATCGATATCTATTTTTAAAGACAAACTCGATATCCGCGTGGTATACACGAACATTTTACAAAAAAATTGAGGTCTCTAGCTCTTGTATCTTCTGAAATCGACGCGTTCATACATATGGAAAGACGGACGGACAGGGCCAAATCGACTCAGCTCGTCGCCCTGATCAAGAATATATATACTTTGTGGGGTCTGCCACGCCTCCTTCTGCCTGTTACATAGATTTCAACAAAACCATTATACCCTGATAATTTAATTGAAAATGGGTTCAGGGTTTAAAAAAGAGGGAAGAAAATCAAAAGAGAAGACAATAAAATACGAAAAAAAGAAAAAAGAAAAAAAAGAGAAAAAAGGAGAGAAAAGAAAAGAAAACTAGACTAAGCGGATAAAGAAGTTATCTATAGAATAAGTAAATAGCGTAAGCGGAGCGGAAAAGCAGACTATCCAGACATCAACGACAGACATCCCATAATCAGGGGCTAAGCGTCGGCTGGGTCTACCAGCGTAGCAAGGACGAGCTAATAGTGATAGCTCGGGACCTCGGGCTCAATGACGAAGGCCGTGTCGATGACCTGAGGAAGAGATTATCCTCGTTCATTCAAGGCGGCAGCTATTCGGCGCAGATCAAGGAGCGGCTGGCTAAGTGGGAGACACGTTTCTCAAAGGTGTCTGGATTCTCTTTGGGAGGCGCAGCGACGAGCATGGGCAGCCGCGCTTATCAAAAGTCGGAGCCGGACCAACGGAAGATACAGGAGCGCGACCCCTTCTCGGCAGCGTCGCTAAAGCTGAGCGTACCCACGGCGAGTAGTGCGGCTGGGAGCCGGAGGAATGAGAGACCGTGGGAATTCTACGGTTGCGGCGAAAACAAGGTGCTCGCAACGGTACCGAAGGCTGACCGTCGGATTCCCATACCCTCGCCGCCGCCGGAAAGGCACCCGCCTTGGAGTGTAGATGAGCAGGTCCGAAAATGGGGAATGAGGAACCGACAGCCGGTCGGTTCCCCTTGACTTTATAGAAATCCTGGAGGAGCGGGCGATCACGTACGGCATCGAGCTAGACCGGATGCCCAGGGCGTTGAGCGAAGTACTGGTTGACAAGGCGACCAAATGGTTCCTAACCAGCGGGTTGAGGGAAGTGTCCTGGCTGGAACTTAAGAAAGAATTCCTCGACTTCTTCTTGCCGCCGCAGTACCTCGAGCTCTTGGAAGATTCGGGCGTCGCCAGCGGGAAGGCGAGTCCTTCAAGGATTATCTAATCAAGCTGCGACTACTAATGCGTCAGGCTAGGTACAGCCCGGCGCAAGAGTTAAACAGGGCCTACGAAAACGCATCCCCGAAATAAAGGCTATATGTACGGCGGCACGATTTCGCATCTCTCACGCAGCTGACGCAGATGGCAGCTGAATACAAGAATGTGCAAAGTCAGCAGAGGGAACAGGAGAAGAAGATTGCGGTGAAGACTGCTTGGTCAAAGCCGGCGGAGGGTAGGCAGGGCAATCCATTCCGCACACAGGCGCCAGACTCCCGGTTTGGAGAACAGGCCGCGAGTCAGACGTTGACGCCAGCGGCTGCATCGCCAATGGAGGCGTCGAGTCGGATGATGACTCAAGACACTCGATCCGGGCCGGGCCAGCGGCGAGTATGCTTCAGGTGCGCGCAGGCCGGACACTTCGCACGAGAGTGTCGCAATGCGCCAGTGATATTCTGCTGGCGCTGTGGACAGCGAGGCAGGAGCACGAAGGAGTGCAGCAAGCAGAACAGCGCGGAAAATGGACATGGGCGCCCTCCACAGGAGCGGAGCGGCACCGTTTAAACGATAAGGAAGAAGATAGGTACCCGCTCAGAGTGGATGAGGGCAAGATCGTCGCGACGGTGGTGATCGGGGGTTAAAAGATGACCGCCACGATCGACACTGGGGCCACGCGCAGTTTCGTAAGCGAGGACTGCATGTGCCAACAGACGATGCGAGGCGAGTACTACGACGTGGAGTCGAGGATCAGTGTGTTGTGGCGATGCCAAGTTGGTGATGAGGATGGTGGGAGACATGGCGGAGAAGCGTCGTCGACGAATAGGCAAGACGCGCAAGAAAGGAGCAGTCAATCCAGAGGGCAAGATTGGTTTCGCTCGGCGTCTCTTCACCAAAGGAGGGCCAGTGGTCGTCAGTCGTGAGATTGCCAACTGGCAGGCGCGCCGTCTGACAAGAGGAAAACGAGGTCGTCGGGCGTGATATTGCCAGTCGACGCGCAGGGCACGGCGAGTTTGGGCACGCCGTCGGACGAGAAGAAAAGGAAGAGCAAGGGGACGCCGGGAAGAGATCGGAGGGGACCGGGAAGGATCTCTTGGCGGCGAAGATGAATAGAACGAAAGGAAGCAAGGAATTGGCTCAGAGAAAGGGAGCCGGGCCTCCCGCGAGAGCTACAAAGCAGAGCGAGGATTTGAGGGGCCGCCGCCAGAGATCAATCACATTCAGGAGAGGCTCCGACACGCACGATTTATATCCACACTGGATCTGAAGAGCGAGTATAGGCAGATCGCGATGGCGGCAGATGTAGAGAATGCACGGCATTCAAAAAAATCGGAGCGACAAAAAACCAGTACATAGCCAATCTGAAAGAAGTTTTCCAGCGCTTGAAGGCGGCCAAATTGAAATTCAACAGGAAGAAGTGCAGTTTCTTTCGGGAAAAGTTGGCGTATCTTGGCCACGTGATAAGCGGAGAGAGTATTTGCACCGATCCTGAGAAAGTCGAGGCGATTTGGAGCCTCCCATCGCCTTCAAATCTAAAGGAGCTGCGGCAGTGCTTAGAAATGGCTTCATGGTATAGGCGCTTCGTGCCAAACTTCGCGTCGCTAGTACAACCGATGGCGAGGCTTCTTAAAAAGGATCAGAAGTGCATCTGGGGCGAAGGGCAGGAAGAGGCATTGCGGAAACTCAAGGAGAGGTTAACGACCGCGCCTATCTTGGCCTATCCCGACTTCTCGACAAAGTTTGTGTTGCAGACCAACACCAGCGACTACGGCCGGAGTGCGGTGCTGACAAAAGAGGCCGAGGGTCAAGAGCGGGGTAATAGCCTACGTCAACCGAAAGTTACTTTTCAGAGCTCAACTAGTCGGCCACGGAGAAGGAGTGTCTCGCGATCGTTTGGGCGATTCGAAAGATGCGGTGTGGAGGGCTACAGGTTCGACGGATCACCTGGCGCTGAGGCGGCTCAACTCCATAGAAAGTCCCACGGGCAGGATCGCTCGATGGGCGCTAAAGTTGCAGCAGTTTGACGTACGCTATCGCCGAGGGAGCTTGCACGTAGTAGCTGACACACTGTCCCGGCAAAACCTAGACAGTTGTCAGCAGACCGTGGAAAACAATCCCCCTTGTGGGTGGATCCAGAAGATGCGTGAGAGGATTGCGAGGGAGCCTGAGAAGTTCCAGGATTACGTTGAGGACAACGGACAGTTATATCGGAATCTGGGTCATCGGATGGACGAGGAGGATATTTTCCCATGGAAGCTGCGCATCCCCAGCAGTTATGAGAAAAACCACTGCCGCGCTGCTGCAGTTGGCGTTCCGGGAGCGGATCCGGAGCAGATTTGGAGTGCCCAGGACGTTCGTTTTCGTGAACGGCGTACATTTTACGAGTAGGAGTTTCAAGTCCTTCATGAAGTCCTTGGGTGTGGTACTCCAATACACGGCGCCTTACTCGCCGCCCAACGGAAAGGACGAATCGCAAAGTGAAGACCATGATAGCGCAATACATCGAGGACCATCAAAGCTCGTGGGACGAGCTATTGCACGAGATAACGCTGGCGGTCAATTCCAGTGTGGCCGATTCAACGGGCTTTACACCGGCATTCCTGATGATAGGGCGGAAGCCACGTTTGCCCGTCGTGTTATACGACGAGGTCACTTCTGGTTCGGCGACGAGGGAAATCAAGCCCGAGGCTAAGGAGGGCAGGATGAAAGAGGTCTTCGACATAGTACGCAGCAACCTGCAGCGGACTTCTAAGGATCAAGGCAGACACTACAACTTGCGCCGGCGCGACTGGTGGTCCTGTTACGACAGCATCAACTGTCGAACGCGGCAGAAGGATTTGCGGCGAAACTGGTACCCAAATTTGACGGTCCTTACAAGGTCGTCAAGTTCATCTCCCCCCTGGTAAAGGAAGGCTAAAACCTTTTCATCACGGAGAGGAGGAGGTCGACACGATCCCGGAAGTTGAGGCCGGGCAAACGGTGGACGAGGCGCGGCCAGCTTTGTCCCCTGGGGATAACGACAGAGTGCCCTACGAGACCCGCCATTCTGGTGGATCACTAACTTCCCCGTAGAAACCCCCATACTAACGTTAACCCTAACGCAATAGTTCGAGGGCCGCTTCGCTCATTAACGAAAATAAAACCGTATAATTGAAAGCTCTTCATCCATAGGGAGAGCACGAAGATGGATCAGGTGATCGAAATCAGCAGTGATGAGAAGTTCATGAACGTCGAGGGAGAAGAGTCAGAGCAAGGCTCAGCTCGCGTCGAAGACGCGAGAAGCGACAATACGTAGCCGTTCCCACGTGAGGAGGCGAGAGGACGACAGCGGGATCCCAGGTTGGGCAGGGATTATTACCGCCAACACGAGGAACAGGAACAGCCTTACAGTTTGCATACGGTTCATTGTTCGACGGTAAACGTAGCATCCCGGCTGGACGACGTCGTAATATTTAGGCGGACAGAATTTACGACCGTGTACATCCAAATGCCCGGAGTAAGGAAAACACCACCGTACGTGGAGGAATCGCCGGCACTTCCTACGGAGCAGAATACACATAATGCTCATGTTTCCAGAGACTGCAAGAGACGGTGCCGAGCAAATTCGAAGTTGAGTAATACCTAATGCACATTTTTTCGGTGGTGAAAAAGTTTGTTCTACATGTCTCATCTATGTGTTTTTTGGTCAATGATATTAACTTGGATACAAATATTTTGTAATTTAAAGATTTTGGATACCACGCCCCCTTCGCTCACACTTTGTAAAAAACATATTACAAGTACTAGCGACTTGTGCTTTGGAATGTACACACATTTTAGCCATATTATTATGCTTCATAAAGATAGTCCATTTATAAAAGAAACTATTCAACAAATAAATTCTCATAATATTGCCCACACAGCAGAGCGCGTGATATGCGTGCGTGTCTATGCATGTGTGCATAAAACAAGTGCAGAATAAGTAGAATATCAGCTTGGAGAGTTCACGGTATCTCCTAGTCGAACACTCTCGACTAGAGTCTTCTTACTTGTTTTTTTATACCCTGAACTCATTTTCAATGGGAAATCAGGGTATAATGGTTTTGTTGAAATGTATGTAACAGGCAGAAGGAGGCGTGGCAGACCCCACAAAGTATATATATTCTTGATCAGGGCGACGAGCTGAGTTGATTTGGCCCTGTCCGTCTGTCTGTCCGTCCGTCTGTCCGAATGTATGAACGCGTCGATTTCAGAAGATATAAGAGCTAGAGATTTCAAATTTTTTTTTAAATGTCCGTAATTACAGCGCGGATATCAAGTTTATAATTAAAAATCGATAACTCATCCCGATCTCTTTTTTATCGATAAAAAACCCTATCGAAATCCAGTTATAAAATTATATCTTCTACACCTTTATTGCTAGAGTCTCGAAATTTGTAATGTATGCTTATATGCAATTTATGCAATTTCGGTTTTTGTTAAAATTTACCCCCCACCCCTAAATTCACCCCCTCACCCTCACTTTTGTAAAAAGCGTATTTCAAATACTAGAGACTTATGCTTTAGCAAATATATGCATATCCATGTTGTTATCATAATCTAAAAGTTTCATGAAGATCGTACGTCCACAAAAAAAGTTATTAAACAATTAAGTTCTCATAGTAAGCGCTCACTGCCGCCCATGCGTGTTTATGCTTGTGTGTGTATGTGTATGTAAATGTTTGTGTGTGTGTATGTGTGTGTATGTATGCCTGTGTGTGCGTGCGTGTGTGTGTGTGTGTTTCTTGTGTAAGCTGAAAGACGCGAACAATTATTGAAATAGCTATTACTCCAAGGGTTCAGGGGATCTCGTAGTCGAGCAGTCTCGACTAGAGCTTTCTTACTTGTTTTTTTTTTTTGGTATTTAATTTTTTTTTAAGTGCATTGAAGCATTTTCCAATATATATATTTTTTTTATTTTTATAATTTAGTAATTATCTTATTCTATTTAGGTAATTTTTTGTTTTATTAAAAAACGTTTAAAAAGACAAAAAAATTGCCATTAAGTTTAAAAAGCTTCCTGTGCCAATAATTTAGTTCGCCGCTGTATGTGGCATGGTTAGACAAAACATTACAAATAATTGAATAAACTCTTCAATACCTTACTCACCATGTTGTACATCAAGACCAGCTCTCTCTAGCATATATGGGAGACCTAAAATAAGATTACAAATATTTATATACAATGGTATTCTAAATCCACAATTATTTTATTGCTAGCAAATAAAGTATTAAAGTATCCGCTAAATTTTTTAACACAATTTACAAAGTACTTGAAATACGCATTTTACAAAGGTGTGGGTGAGGGGGGGGATATAGGGGTGTGAGGTACATTACAACAAAAATCGAAATTATATAAAATGCATATAAGTCTACATTTAAAGTTTGGAAGCTCGAGCTCGAAAGGTGGAGATATAATTAAATAACTAGCTTTCGATAAGGTTTTTAATCGATAATAAAATATCGGGGCAGGTTATCGATTTTTGAAGAGAAACTCGATATACGCGAAAAATATTTCAAGTCTCTAGCTCTTATATCTTCTGAGATCGAGGCGTTCATACATACGGATGGACGGTCGGACAGACAGATGGACGCACACGCCTAATTATGGCTAGATCTGGCCTATTTGAAAATGAAATAGCCAAAAAATTTCGCCAAATAGGCCTTTATGAATTAATCAGTAATTTTCGCAATTTATAGTCGCAACCCGATATATTGCAAAGCATTTAATAAACTTTTTAGTGTATCACGAAAATTTTTCGGTTGAAAATGTGTATAAATTATAATTATATATAATTAGTAGTATTTTATAGATATACACATATTTATAAACATGATTAGCTATAATAATATATGAATGTGTTTATATACATATGTATGTATGTATGTTCATACATAGTACATCTCTGTGAAGTAGTTATGACAGTGCGTAAGACCGACCAACTGCAAACGCTGGGCTGCTTTAAAATTGCTACAGGCAGCAAGAGCTTCGCACACTGTCATACAAATGCTCATGTACTAAGTGTGCAAGTGTGGGTGTGCAAGCCCATAAATAAATATTGAAACGCTTACTGTTTGTTTGCACGAGCGTGGCATACGCTTTTCAGATTTCGGTATGCTCTTCACTCAAAAGGAAAGAGCTGGGATCGTCGCGAACAAATTTCAGTTTTTGTGCTGCTGAGCTTGACGATTTGAGAGACCGTAGAGAGAGAGAGAGAGAGTATGAGAGAGAGTAGCGCACTAATTTCCTCGTGCTACCCTAGCCAGCAAATACCAAGCCGAGCGAATCCGAAGTTGTTGGTAGCTACTAGACAGATTTTTCGGTGCTGAAAAAGATTGTTCTACATTTCTAGTCTATGTGTTGTTTGGTTAGTGGTTAAGGGTATAACAAGTAAGCAGGGCTGCCAGATTAGCCTTTTATCGGCCAGATCTGGCCTTTTTCAACTGCCAATTGCAGGGAAAATTGCAATCTAGCTGATGGCGGGAAAATTGGCACTTGTTAAATTCTCAAATCTGCATTAATTAAAGTGCCTCCAAAGTACTTGAATATTATTAGCACAAACAATTCGTACTCTGCCGAGGAGAAAATTGATTTTATTGAGCTCGATAATCGTGTGTAAATTTTCGAATAAAAGTATAATGCTTTACAAGTAAAAAAGTTCTAGTCAAGACTGCTCGAGTACGAGATCTTCTGAACCCTTCGAGCAATAGCTATTTCATTCATTTTTCGCGTCTTTCTGCATATAAATCAACATTAAAAATTTGGAGACTTTAGCTTTCAAGTTGTAGGAGATATAATTTTAAAACTGATTTTCGGTAAAGTTTTTTTATCGATAAAAAAATTATCGGGAGTAGTTATCCATTTTTAAAGCAAAACTCGATAGCCGCGTGGTATACACGGACATTTTACAAAAAAATTGAGATCTCTAGTTCTTGTATCTTCTGAAATCGACACGTTCAAACACTTACAGACGGACAGACGGACGGACGGACAGTGCTAAATCGACTCAGTTCGTCGCCCTGATCAAGAATATACATACTTTGTGGGGTCTGCCAGGTCTCCTTCTGCTTGTTACATACATTTCAACAGAACCATTATACCCTGATTTCCCATTGAAAATGGGTTCAGGGTATACACATTTTTAACCAAAACACGGTATAGTGCTCTAGTTGAAACTGATCGACTAGGAGATCCCCTGAACTCTGCAATGAGCTGATATTCCATTCATTCCATCTTTATCAAACTTTTAGAACGTGTCAAGGAGAACCCTTAGTGCCGAATAATCTAGGGCTAGTATAAACGTTGAAATATTTATAAAAGCATACAAAATAATAACTCGAAGGTTCAGCGGATCTCGTAGCCGGACTGGCTTAAAAGGATTTTAATCGATACCAATAAACGAGAATAGATAACTGATTTCTTAAACGAGATAAATCTGGATATATAGAAAATGATTCGTAAAATAAATAGCAATAAGTACGAAATCTAATTGATGAATATTTATTTATGTACATTCACTTACCACCAGTAACTGAAAATGTATTTTTTTCATTATTTCTTTTCTTTATAACAGATAAACTGGAATTAGCAATGGGAAGATTACCGGAAATCGGAGAATGCGATCGATAAAGAGCTCGAGTAACATTATTTATCACAATTGGAGACGTTGCACTGCACAAATTGATTTCATTTCCAGGAGCTTCCTAACAAAATATATAAATAATTATTAATAACAAGTAAGAAAACTATAGTCGAGACTCCTCGACTAGATACTACCCTTAACCAAACTAAGAAAAATGCTAAATGTGTACGGTTTAAAATTTCTATTTCGATATGTTTAAAAATATAAGTAAAATAAAAAACTCAGTGTAATATATTTATATTTATGTCCTGAAAAATCTAATGATATGACGCCTTTTACTAGTTGCAATTGGGAAAATTAAATACTTTGAAACAATTAAAATAAACATAAATTCCGCGCTCTGGAGTCGAACCCGAGACTCCTCGATCGAGCGTCGCGCTAGTCACAATGCCCCCTCACTTTTCGAAACTGTGATGGCAAAAGTGAAAAAGTTTCACTGCCACAGCGCCATCTAGAAACAAGTAAGAAAGCTGTAGTCGAGACTGCTCGACTACGAAATCCTCTGAACCCTTCGAAGAATTGATATTTAAAAATAATTCTTCGAGTCTTTCTGCTTACGCAAGAAACATCCACACTCACACAGAGAAAAACATAGGGATGCAAGCATAAACACGCATTGGCAGCAGTGCACAATGGGCGAAACGGCTGATTTAGCGGTGATTAATTAATAACTTCTGCAAAAATTATGCTATTTTTGTAAGGATACATTCATTTTGTAGATAAATTAATTACACATCAGAATTAATGTAGAGCAACATTTTTAATTAAGTGACTATAAACGCCAAAATCGTTCACACCATTCTAAGTTGAGGAAGGCACACGCCAATGTTCATCTCCTATGCATACACACAAAGATATACATACACGCACATGTAAAGGCACACAGGCATACAAATGCTTCTACAAGTGATATCCCATAATTGTGAGCATCGCATCCCATGCGTACATACAATCAAATGCATATACATACATATGTATGTGAACACTTCACAAGATAGACCAAATGCAAATGCTGGGATTTAAAATTGCTACAGGCAGCAAGAAATTCGCATACAGGCATACAAATGCTCATAGTACATGTAGCATACTGTAAGTGTGTGTGTGCATGCTCGTCGCGAAAACATTTTAATTATGTGCGCCAACGCTTTCATACCCTTCCCACAAATAATAACGAAAACGCATGGCAAACGGCTTGAAGAGTTAGGAATACTCTTCACTCAGAAGGGAAGACATGGGCTCTTGCTGCGACGAAATTTCAATTTTCGTGAATTGCTACTTGTGCTCACATGCATACATACATATACATATTTGAGAGAGGAGAGAGCATCGAGAGAGAGAGAGAGAGACAGCAAGGGAAATATTCAGCATCGACGTTCAACAGTCGACCATCGTAGCCCGACCCTAAAAGTGAGGAGCCGAGCAAATACGAAGTGGTCTGATAACTAATGCTCGAAAAAAGTGTGCAAAACGCTTTCACTACTTGTCCGGTCTATGTGTTCTCTGGTTAGTGATATAAGTCTACATTTAAAATTTTGATATTCTAGCTCTAAAGATGTAGGAGATATAACTTTATAAAGATTTTCGATAAAATGCATGAATATCCATGTTATCATCATAATCTGAAAGTTTCATGAAAAAAGTACATCCATGCTTGTTTGCGTGTAAATGAATGTGTGTGTAAGCAAAAAGACGCGAAAAATTATTGAAATAGCTACTGCTCGAAGGGCTCAGAGCATCTCGTAGTCGAGCAGTCTCGACTGGAGCTTTCTTCGTTCTTTTTTTTAAAGCCGAAATAATAAGTATCTTTCTACATTCTCCCGTTTTATGTTGAGCTTATTTTGATATAAAGCATAATATGAAAATATCGTATCTATTCTAGTTATTAATATTTTTGATCGTTAAAACATAGATATCAGTTGCACCCGAAAAATAAAAATAGTTTCTTATAACTTAGAATACACTACATAATATATTTTTGCATACTTAAGAAATCATTTAAAAAAATTTTAACAGTACCTTTCGATCGACTTTTGAGGGCGACAATAACTGCTTTGATAAATATAAATGATGCATCATAGCTTGCAGACGATCTCTTTCCTTTTGCAGGTGACTTTCCAATTGGGAAACCACTTGCATTTGTACCCGAGCCTGGGCTGTTGATCTGTCATCTAATGCATGCTCCGAATTCAAGTGTCTGTTGGAAAAAATGTTATAAATAATATGGGATATGTATTACATTGTATACAATGTGCGGAAGTGACAACGCAAATATATTATCTTAAATCCTTCTGTGCGTACAAAAAAAAGCTATAAAATACCTTCTATAATACAGGCGTATAAATAATTCTAATTAAAACAAGTACGAAAGCTCTAGTCGAGACTGCTCGACTACGAGATCCTCTGAACCCTTCGAGCAATCAATCATTTCAATTATTTTTCGCGTCTTTTTGCTTACACAAGAAAGACGCTCACACGCATACACACACACAAACACATACACACACAAGCACCCACGCATAATCAAGCATGGGCAGTGTGGGCTTACTATGAGAACTTAATTGTTTAATAACTTTGTTTGGGGTCATACGATCTTCATGAAATTATGAATATAACATGGATATGCATGTATTTGGCAAAGCATAAGTCCCTAGTATTTTAAATACGCCTTTTTAAGTGAGGGGGTGAATATAGGGATGGGGGGTACATTTTAAGAAAAATCGAAATTGTATAAAATACATATAAGTCTAAATTTAAAAGCTGAAGCTCTGGGAGATATATTTAAATAACTACCTTTCGGTAAGGCTTTTAATCGATAATAAAATATCTGGCGTAGTTATCGATATTTAGAGAAAAACTCGATATGCGCGTGATATACACGGACCTAGGAAAAATTTTAAGTCTCTGAGATCGATGCATTCATACATACGGACGAACGAACGGATGGACAGACAGACGGACGGACGGACGGACGGACAGACAGACGGACAGGGCCAAATCGACCCAGCTCGTCGCCCTGATCAAGAATACATATGCTGCCACGCCTCCTTCTGTCTGTGACATACTTTTAACAAAACTTATACCCTGATTTCCCATTTTCAATGGGTTCAGGGTATAACAAGTAAGAAAGCTCTAGTCTAGATTGCTCGACTACGAGATCCCCTGAACCCTTCGAGCAACTGATATATAAATAATTTTTTGCACATACACACACACACGCACATACACAGGCATACGCACGCACGCATAAACACGCATTGGCTGCAGTGCTGGCTTACAATGGGAATTTAATTGTTAAATAACTTCTCTTGTGGATGTACTTTCTTCATGAATCTTTCAGAATATGATTATAACATGGATATGCATGCATTTACCAAAGCACAAATCGCTAGTATTTGATATACGTCTTTTACAAATATATGGGTTTTTATAGATAAAAAATAACGGGATGAGCTATCGATTTTTTGCGATAAACTCGATATCCGCGTGGTATACACGGACATTTTATAAGATTTCCCATTTTCAATGGGTTCAGGGTATAAACAAAATTGAGGTCTCTAGCTTTTATATCTTCTAAAATCGACGCGTTCAAACATACTGACAGACGGACAGAGAGACAGACGGATGGGGCCAAATCATTTCAGCTTGTCGCCTCGATCCAGAATAAGTATACTTTGTATGTATACTATACATTAACCGCTTCAATTTTATCCCAATATACGCACAGCTGTGAACCTTGTAAGGCGGATCCCCCATTCACCGCCTTACATTGTTTGTAGCACATAAGTTATAGTGATATTTTTGTAGTATATAATTTATAGTATATAATTTGTAGTATATAATTTGTAGAATATAAGCGCATATCGTTAAGTTTGTAGTTTGTAATTGTTAGTTTTAATGGTTAGAATGTATGTAATATTAGGTAATGTGAATATTGGTAATTGTTAACTTTAAGATTTAAATTTAAAAGGCGGCTGAGCTCGCGTAGAGCGTCGGCTATCGGCAGTGTAACCTTGCCCGGCGTGGTGAAAGCTCACGAGGGCGGAGAGCGCTGCATTGCCAACGCCGAGGTGAATTGGGCGCTCGCGCATGCGAGCAGCCCAAGTAAGGATTAGATGGGAGGAGTGAGTTGGAGAGCGTCGTTCAGATCGGACGTGACTAGGATTAAGGTAATTGATTAGACAACGTCGTGTTGAGCAGACGCATTAGTAGTCTTTGCAGAGCGTCACACGGGTCAGACCCAATTAGCGAGTAAGTGCGATCGAGAGAAGATAAATTGGTGAAATTGTAATAGTGAAGTAAGATAATATAAAGAGCAATAGTAAATAATCACACAGAAAAGGAAAACTAAGTAAGTTGATTCATTTCCTCACCTCAATATTTTGTAAGAAACTGCTAGTCTCTTGAAAAATTTCGTTAATTCGTAAAAATATTATACATAATTCGAAGTTTTTCTGCTTACTTGGCGATGATCTTTCCTCTTATAATTCGTAATTTCGAAACATTTTTAATTCGTAATGCTTGAATTTGCTGGAAGTTAAACTACCGTTAGGTCTCGCAGACTACCATGCCTTTATATCGCTTCATGTGTGATATTTGATTGCTCTCTCATTGGGCTTACATTAGTTTGCTAATTTTATTTGAAGCATGTAAACGATTCGTAAAAATGTTAAGCAAACGTTCTCGTAGGTTCCTATCAACTTCACAAAAACAAGAAATAATATCAGCTATTGATAATGGAAACAAAACAAAACTTGTGTGGCAAAACAATGGCTCCATCAACATTAATTTCAATTCTTAACAGAAAGTAATTATGGGAACACGCAATCAGATAAAGCGTCAAAAGTTAACTGACGACGACAAGCCAAAACAGAAATTCAGCGACTAAGACCCCACAAAGTATATATATTCTTGATCAGGGCGACGAGCTGAGTCGATTTGGCCCTGTCCGTCTGTCTGTCTGTCCGTCTGTTCGTATGTTTGAACGCGTCGATTTCCGAAGAGCTAGAGACTTCAATTTCGTTTTTAAATGACCGTATATACAGTGCGGACGTCGAGTTTTCTTTTAAAATACGATAAGTCCTCCCGTTATGTTTTTATCGAGTAAAAACATTCAAGTTCAAGTCAGATGAGACTATAGCTAATTGTGAATGATTTTTAATTTTTACACCCTGAACCCATTTTCAATGGGAAATCAGGGTATAATAATTTTGTTGATATGTATGTAACAGGCAGAAGGAGGCGTGGCAGACCCCACAAAGTATATATATTCTTGATCAGGGCGACGAGCTGAGTTGATTTGGCCCTGTCCGTCTGTCTGTCCGTCCGTCTGTCCGTCTGTCCGTATGTATGAACGCGTCGATTTCAGAAGATATAAGAGCTAGAGACTTCAAATTTTTTTTAAAATGTCCGTAATTACAGCGCGCATATCAAGTTTATCATTAAAAATCGATAACTCATCCCGATCTTTTTTTATCGATAAAAAACCTTATAGAAAACCAATTATAAAATTATATCTTCTACACCTTTATTGCTAGATTTAATTTATTTTAATGTATGCTTATATGCAATTTATACAATTTCGGTTTTTGTTAAAATGTACCCCCACCCTTAAATTCACCCCCCCACCCTCACTTTTGTAAAAAGCGTATTTCAAATACTAGAGACTTGTGCTTTAGCAATTACATGCATATCTATGTTATAATCATAATCTGAAAGTTTCATGAAGATCGTACGTCCACAAAAAAAGTTATTAAGCAATTAAGTTCTCATAGTAAGCGCACACTGCCGCCCATGCGTGTTTATGCTTGTGTGTGTATATGTATGTAAATGTTTGTGTATGTGTGTGTGTGTGTGTGTATGCGTGTGTGTATGTATGTGTGTGTATGTATGCCTGTGTGTGCGTACGTGTGTGTGTGTGGGTGTGTGCGTGTTTCTTGTGTAAGCTGAAAGACGCGAAAAATTATTGAAATATCTATTGCTTGAAGGGTTCAGGGGATCTCGTAGTCGAGCAGTCTCGACTAGAGCTTTCTTACTTGTTTTAAATATCTCAAATATTCATAAATAATATGTAGATCAAATGCTGAAAGGTTCATTAAATTCCGTTCAGTCCAAAAGTAATAAAAAACAAGTAAGAAGGCTCCAGTCGAGACTGCTCGACTGGGGGATACCCTGAACCCTCCAAACTGATATTCTAATCATTCTGGACTTCTTTTATGCACACATACATACACATGCACTTATAAGCACGCGCTCTGCTAACTGCGCAGTAAGCAGCGGCTGCGCTTGGGCTGCACTGTAGTGTGGGCAATATTATGAGAATTTATTTGTTGAATAATTTCTTTTGTAGACATACGATCTTTTAGAGCGTAATCATATGGCTAAAATGTGTGTACATTCCAAAGCACAAGTCTCTAGTACTTGAAATGCGCTTTTTACAAATTGGGGGCGAAGGGGGCGTGGTATCCAAAATCTGTAAATTACAAAATCTTTGTATCTATTAACTTTATATACAACGCAAATTTGAAGTCTCCAGGTCTAAAAGTGTTCAAATTAGGCTGAAAAAACAATGTCAAGTTTTCGAATATTCTCGATAAAAAATTTATCGGACGAGTTATCGAAAAAATAAAGCAAACTTGTACTGCCTATGGTATACACGAGTATGCATGCCAAATTTTAGCTCTCTAGCTCTTATATCTTCTGAGATCCTTTTGCTCATACGGACGGACGGACGGACGGACAGACGGACAGGGCTATATCGGCTCAGCTCGTCGCCCTGATCAAGAATATATATACTTTGTGGGGTCTGCCACGCCTCCTTCTGCCTGTTACATACATATCAACAAAATTATTATACCCCGATTTCCCATTTTCAATGGGTTCAGGGTATAAAAATGCCCATTTAGTAAAGCTAAAATTTCAATTTCGATATATTTAAAAATATAAATTAAATAGAAAACTCATTTATGAAAATATACAAATATTTTGAAACAATCAAAAAAATTAACATTAGTTGCACCGATCGGGATTCGAACCGCGACCTGTCAATTGAGCGTCATGCAGCTAACACACTACGCCACCGCACTTCTGAAAGCGGAGCTGGCAAAACTCAAATAGATTCACTGCTGCAGCGCCATCTAGCAAAACCAAACCAAACTAACTGCTGATGTGATTCTAAGAATCTGCTAGAATAACCAAACTTTTAAAAACGCACATTTAGTATGGTTAAAATTTCAATTTCGGTGTATTTAAAAATATTAATTAAATAAAAACTCATTTATGATAATATTAAAATATTTTGAAACAATTAAAAAAGTTAACATCAGTTGCACCGATCGGGATACGAACCGGGACTTCTCGATCGAGCGACATGCCGCTAACACACTACGCCACCTTACTCCTGAAAGCTCCGCTCGCAAAACTCAAATAGATTCACTACTGCAGCGCCATCTACCAAAATTAAATCAAACTAACAGCTGATGTGATTCAAAGAATGTTCCAGAAGAAGTTTGAATGTATGTGTGCACACATGTCAGAACGTTGCAGTCGGGCGTTACCGACTGCGAAATACTCATTCACATCCCATCAACAATTTAGTAGTTAAGTTTCGCTCTAATACTGCAGAATATACAGGTTTTTCCGATTTGCCACGCCCCAACTGGGCGTAGACACCTCATTTTTTGTCAGTTTCTAGAACGAGATAACAGTACCCTATCTGCAAAGTTTGAATGCTTACTCTCAAAAAAAGTGAAAATTACAGGGTATTTTTCGATATGCCCCGCCCCTAAAGAGGCGTAAAAATTATTTTTGGGGAATCGATAGAGGAGGCTACCAGTAACTCAACTATTCAAATTTGAAGCTTCTAGCTATTATACTTGAGGAGATATACACTTTTGCGGTTTGCCACGCCCCCTGTGGGCGGACATATATCCGACAAAACTTTTTGGTCTTGGGTGATTAGCCCGAGTATATATACAAAATTTGAGGTCTCTGGCATCAATAGTGTCCAAAATATAGCAGAATATAAAAAATCACTATATCTTCAGGTCCGCTTTGCCACGCCCCTAATGGGCGTAGGCTTATAACTTTGTCTTTAGACATTATAGAATCATAGCATTAGCTGACGTGCAAAATTTCAGCATCCTAGGCTTACAACTTTAGGAGATACAGTTTTATCCGATTTGCCACGCCCCCAATAGGCGGAGATATATCCGCCATAGCTCGTGATCTTGGGTGGTCAACGCGGACCTAAATACCAAATTTCAGCTTTCTAGCTCTTTAACTAACATGATTTCTGGTATATCGGAAAATGCATTTTCCGATTTGCCACACCCCTAGTGGGGGGGAGGTATACACGAGTATGTGTTCCAAATTTCAAGTCTCTAGCTTCAATAGCGCCGAAATAGATTGCGTTCATACGGACAGACGGACAGACGGACGGACGGACAGACGGACGGACGGACGGACGGACGGACGGACGGACGGACGGACAGACGGACGGACGGACAGACGGACGGACGGACAGACGGACGGACGGACGGACGGACGGACAGACGGACGGACGGACGGACAGACGGACGGACGGACAGACGGACAGACGGACGGACATAGCACAAAACCAATATACTGATTCACTTTCGTGAATGAGTATAACAAGTAAGAAACCTCTAGTCGAGACTGCTCGACTACGAGATCCCCTGAACCCTTCGAGCAATAGCTATTTCAATCATTTTTCGCGTTTTTATACTTACACAAGACACACCCGCACACGTACACATACACACACACGCATATAAACACACGCATACATACACACACACGCATATACACACACGCATACACACTTCATCCCTCTTTTGGGGAGCAACATGGAGCCATTGCGATAGCTATACAGGCAGCGATCATACGGCACTTCTGTTCACAATAGATGAGCCACCTGCCAGGGCGTCAACATTGTGAAGGGAGTCGTATCGGCTAGATACTTTTGATCCCGCGGTCTTTTCAGAGGCCATTCAGTCTCTGGGTACAATTGGTAATGCTGAGGCCAGAGCATGCCAAATGGTAGCCCAAATACAGAGTGCCTGCAATAGCAGCATGTTACGCCGCAGGCAGTTCACGCGACAACATAAGCCTACGTATTGGTGGAATACGCAAATAGGTGAAATTCGTTGCAAATGCATCCAGGCGAGAAGAAGCTACCAACGGGCTCGCGGTAGGTCAACGTTTTTTGAGAAACAGTTAGCTTACCAGGCAGCTAGAAGACAGCTGAAGAAGGCCATTCGGGCAAGCAAAAGAGAATGTTTTTTACAGTTGTGCGATTCAGCCGAATATGACCCTTGGGGCAGGGCATATAAGATAGTAGTTAAAAGACTATACGCAGGTGGACAGGTGCAGCCTACGGATCGTCTGGAGCTTAAATCGATTGTGGAAACACTCTTTCCAGAAAGTTTAAGCTCCATTCACGCCCCTGAGTCCGAGTCTGCTGATCAGGGCTCAACGAGCACTGAAATTGTTTTAGTTACAGAGGAAGAAATATCAGTAGTTCTCCGAGGTCTTAGAACCAACACAGCTCCAGGGCCGTACGGGATCGAATGTGGACGGTTCCTGGAAGAGAGGCGTCGTCTGGAAGAGGCAGTGGGCCGCTCCATCAGGGCGGACAACTTAGTCAACGCCATGCTGAATCGGAGGAAGCTTGGGAACTAACAAGCACCTTCGCGGCCACGGTGATGATGGAGCTGTCTCAGTAGGTGGTCGATGCGGATCTATAATCCAAATTTCAGCTTTCTAGCTGTTTAACTAACATGATTTCTGGTATATCGGAAAATGCATTTTCCGATTTCCCACGCCCCTAGTGGGCGGATCGGGAAAATTTTAACACTTTATAAATCGGAGATATACACGAGTATGTGTTCCAAATTTCAAGTCTCTAGCTTCAATAGCGCTGAAATAGATTGCGTTCATACGGACAGACGGACAGACGGACGGACGGACAGACGGACAGACGGACAGACGGACGGACAGCAAGACGGACATTGCACAAATCCAATATACTGATTCACTTTCGTGAATGAGTATAATGATTCACTTTCGTGAATGAGTATAAAAAAAAAAAAAACACACGCATACACACACACATATACACACACACACGCACACACACATACGCACACAAGCACCCACGCCTAAACACACATGGGCTGCAATGTGCGCTTGCTATGAGAACTTAATGGTTTATTAACTTTTTTTGTGGACATACGATCTTCATGAAACTCAGATTATGATCATAGCTCGGATTTACATATATTTGCCAAAGCATAAGTCTCTAGTATTTGAAATACGCCTTTTACAAATATGTTGGTGGTGGATATAGCGGTGGGGGTCCATTTTAACAAAAACCGAAATTGTATAAATTTTTAAAGCAAAACTCGATATCCGCGTGGTATACACGGACATTTTACAAAAAAATTTAGGCCTCTAGCTCTTGTATCTTCTGAAATCGACGCGTTCAAACGAACAGACGGACGGACAGGGCCAAATCGACTCAGCTCGTCGCCCTGATCATGAATATATATACTTTATGGGGTCTGCCACGCCTCCTTCTGCCTGTTACATACATTTCAACAAAACTATTATACCCTGATTTCCCATTTTCAATGGGCTCAGTGTATAACAAGTATGAAAGAGATTTCAATAATTGTTCGCACATGCACACACAAACGCATACACACAGGCATATGCACGCACGCATAAACACGCATTTAATTGTTTAATAACTTTTCTTGTGGATGTACTTTCTTCTCCCTTTCCCTTTCTAGAGAGGGAGAGTAAGAAAGAAAAGGCGCGCAGTAAGGCTTCATCGGAGCCGAGCAAATAAGAAGTGTTGCTACGAAGATATATGCATGCAAGGACTCGAGTGACTCGACGCCTATATGCTTCGGTTAAATTCTGTTATATTCATATACGGACTCCACTATCTTCTGACATATATTTAACAAAACTATTTTCAATTGCTCGACTAAATTCTTTTGGTTTGCCATATTTTCGTAGCCCGAACTTAAAAGTAAAGGACCGAGCAAATACGAAGTTGTGTGGAATAGTTATAATCAAATTTAACTATGCAAAAAACTTTTTAGAGATGTTCAGTCTATTTATTATACTGTTAGTCCATTTGCTTAATCGGCGTTTATACTTAACACCTCTACCTGTTACATACATATTCACAAAAACATTATACCCTGATTTTCCATTTACAATTTCATTTATATATCATATAATCTTAAATCTACTTACTTTACAAAAGAGGCAATATCTTCCAAATCAACTTCACAACCAGGCCATCTACATATTCCATGAGCGAATAAGGGATGATAATATTTGCGAATGGCAAATACATCATGTATGTGATTATATTCGTTATTATATATATCATTTTCTTTTGAACGAAGAATCTTCTCAGAATCTGACAATATATTCTTTTCTTGGTCAGATATAAATTCGGGAAAGCTGTAAAAGTTGATATCAGTACTTGGCGTCATTGTATGCATTTGTTGACCATTTGATGTTGGTATTTGACTATTAAAGTCTGGAACAAATATTGATTCTCCCACGCTGGAAGTTGGTGAACTGGACTTAATAATGTGTGTTGCATATGATGCATGAATAGGAACACCATCCTTTTGTAAACCATTATTTTTAAGTTTTTCAGGACAAAAATCGGAAGATATTGGTGAGTGGTAAAGAGATTTGCTAAAAATTTCTTTTTGTTGATGATTATCGATGTGCGGAGATCCTTTATTATCTTCAGAAAATTCGTCCGCAGGAAACCGAAGCATAATAATTATAATGAACTGAATGGAAACAAGACAATTAAAACATTTTGTATTTATTTTTCTTGGTTTTTTTAGGTAGGAATAAGCAGAATTAAAATGCATTGAACAGTTTCCTTATTTATATCACTAACCACAGAACACATAGACCGGACAAGTAGTGTAAAGCGTTTTGCACACTTTTTTTCGGGAGTTATCTTCCAGACCACTTCGTATTTGCTCGGCTCCTCGCTTTTTGAGTTCGTGCTACGAAAATATACGAAAGCACAATCATTTCGCATCATGTGCTCACCGAGATAGTCGACTGTTGAACAAAAGATGCCACTATGCTCAATTATTCCCTTGCTCTCTCTCTGTCTCGATGCTCTCTACTATCTCAAAGAACCCATGTCTTCCCTTCCGAGTGAAGAGTATTCCGAACTCTTCAAGCCGTTTGCCATGCTCGTGCAAAATGTTTGCGTTTTCGTTATTATTTGTGGGAAGGGAATGAAAGCGTTAGTGCGCATAAAGAAAATGTTTTAGTGTCGAGCACGCAAAAAGACACTTACAGTATGCTACATGTATTAGCATTTGTATGCCTGTGTGCGAAGCTCTTGCTGCCTGTAGCAATTTTAAAGCATTTGCATTTTGCTCACACTTACATATGTACGTTTGATTGTGTGTGCGCAGGGGTCGCGATGCTAACAAATTATGCAAATTGTAGAATCATTTGTATGCCTGTGTGCCTTTACATGTGCGTGTTAAAACATTTTCATTATGAGCACCAACGCTTTTATACCCTTCCCACAAATAATAACGAAAACGCAAATATTTTGTAAGAGCTTGGCAAACGGTTGGAAAAGTTCGGTATATTCTTCACACAGAAGGGAAGAAACGGGAGTCTCACGTGAAGAAATTTAAATTTTTGTGAACTGCTGCTTGTGCTTACATGCATGAAGCGAAATGATTGTGCTTTCGTATATTTTCGTAGCCCGAATCCAAAAATGAGGAGCCGAGCAAATACGAAGTTGTGTGGGACGCAATGCTCGAAAAAAGTGTGCAAAACGCTTTACACTACGTATCCGGTCTATATGCTCTGTGGTTAGTGCTATTACATACATTTCAACAAAAACATTATACCCTGATTTCCCATTTTCAGTGGGTTCAGAGTATAATTAGAAATATAATTATGTCGGCTACATCTTTGAAGCTAGAGTCGCTAAATTTTGAAATTCTAAAAGTGTTCAAATTAGGCTGAAAAAACAAAATCAATTTTTCGATTATTCTCGATAAAAAGTTATCGGATGATTTATCGAAAAAATAAAGCAAACTCGTACTGCGTATGGTATACACGAGTATGCATGCCAAATTTCAGCTCTCTAGCTCTTGTAACTTCTGAGATCGACGCACACATACGGACGGACGGACAGACGGACAGGGCTATATCGACTCAGTTCGTCGCGCTGATCAAGAATATATATACATTGTGGGGTCTTCTTCTGCCCGTTACATACTTTTCACAAAACCATTATACCCTGATTTCCCATTTTCAATGGGTTCAGGGTATAAAAAATTAAATTAAATTAAATCTAAACAAGTAAGAAGGCTCCAGTCGAAACTGCTCGACTGGGAGATACCCTGAACCCTCCAAGCTGATATTCTAACCATTCTGCACTTCTTCTATGCACACATACATACACATGCACTTATAAGCACGCGCTCTGCTAACTGCGCAGTAAGCAGCGGCTGCGCTTGGGCTGCGCTGCAATGTGGGCAATATTATGAGAATTTATTAGTTGAATAATTTCTCTTGTAGTAAGAGTATCTTTATGAAACTTTCAGAATGTGTTCATATAGTTAAAATGTGTGTACATTCCAAAGCACTCTCTAGTACTTGAAATGCGCTTTTTACAAATTGGGGGCGAAGGGGGCGTGGTATCCAAAATCTGTAAATTACAAAATCTTTGTGTCTATTAACTCTATATACAACGCAAATTTGAAGTCTCCTGGTTGAAAAGTGTTCAAATTAGGCTGAAAAAACAATGTCGATTTTTCGATTATTCTCGATAAAAAAGTTATCGGATGAGTTATCGAAAAAATAAAGCAAACTCGTACTGCCTATGATATACACGAGTATGCATGCCAAATTTCAGCTCTCTAGCTCTTATAACTTCTGAGATCCTTTTGCTCATACGGACGGACGGACGGACGGACAGACGGACAGGGCTATATCGACTCAGCTCGTCGTCCTGATCAAGAATATATATACTTTATGGGGTCTGCGATGATTCCTTCTGCCTGTTACATACTTTTCACAAAACCATTATACCCTGATTTCCCATTTTCAATGGGTTCAGGGTATAACAAGTAAGAAGGTTCTAGTCGAGACTGCTCGACTAGGAGATACCCTGAACCCTCTAAGCTGATATTCTAATCATTCTGCCTTTTTAAAGCAAACATACATACACATGCATCCACACGCACGCATAAGCCTGCGCTCTGCTAACAGCGCAGTAAGCAGCGACTGCGCTTGGGCTGCGCTGCAGTGTGGGCATATTATGAGAATTTATTTGTTGAATAATTTCTTTTGTAGACATAAGATCTTAATGAAACTTTCAGAGTGTAATCATATGATGAATATGTGTGTACATTCCAAAGGACAAGTCTCTAGTACTTGAAATGCGTTTTTTACGAATCGGGGGGAAAGGGGGCGTGGTATCCAAAATCTGTAAATTACAAAATCTTTGTATCCATTAACTCTATATACAACGCAAATTTGAAGTCTCCAGGTCTAAAAGTGTTCAAATTAGGCTGAAAAAACAATGCCGATTTTTCGATTATTCTCGATAAAAAAGTTATCGGATGAATTATCGAAAAAATAAAGCAAACTCGTACTGCGTATGGTACACACGAGTATGCATGCCAAATTTCAGCTCTCTAGCTCTTATAACTTCTGAGATCGACGCACTCATACGGACGGACGGACGGACGGACGGACGGACGGACAGACGGACAGGGCTATATCAACTCAGCTCGTCGCGCTGATCAAGAATATATATACTTTATGGGGTCTGCCACGCCTCCTTCTGCCCGTTACATACTTTTTCACAAAACCATTATACCCTGATTTCCAATTTTCAATGGGTTCAGGGTATAAAAATATGATAAGCTTTTACTGCGTGTGGTATAAACGTGTGTACATGCCAAATTTCAGCTCTCTAGCTCATATAACTTCTGAGATCTAGGCGTTCATACGTTCGGACGGACAGGGCTATATCGACTTAGCTCGTCGCCCTGATCAAGAATATATATACTTTATGGGGTCTGCTATGATTCCTTCTGCCTGTTACATACTTTTCACAAAACTATTATACGCCGATTTCCCATTTTCAATGGGTTCAGGGTATAATAATGCTGCATCGTACAAAGCGTATTTTAGCTCCGCATTTTTGCAACGATCTTGAGATGTTTTGAGAGCTATAGAAGGAAATTAATGGTATCACGAGGAGAGGAAGGCTGTGACGAGATAATAGAGCTGAGTTGATTTAGCCTTGTCCGTCTGTCCGTCCGTCCGTCTGTCTGTCCGTATGTTTGAACACGTCGACCTCAGAAGATATAAGAGCTAGAGACTTGAAATTTGTATTTCACTCCTTTCACTTTCGGGAATGAGTAAATTGGTTTTGTGAAATATTCGTCTGTCCGTATGAACGCAGTTTATTTCGGCGCATTGAATCTAGACACTTGAAATTTGGAACATATACTCGTATCCAATTTCAGATCCGTCCACTAGGGGCGTAGCAAATCGGAAAATGTTATATATTAGTTTATATCTCCTACAGTCTAAGGGCTCGAAGCTGTAGATTTGGAAAGTTGAGTTACTGGTAACCGCCTCTATTGATGTTTCTGAAATAATTGTTAAACCTTTTAAGAGGCGTGGCATATCGAAAAATACCCTGTAATTTTTCCAATTCTTTTAGCATAAAAGTTCAAATTTTCCACTTAGGTTAGTACACGGGCGCGGGTTGAGCGGCGTAACCCACACCCGCCAGCACCCAACCCGAAACTCGATTTTTCAGCCCATACCCACGGGTAACCGCGGGTGCCCACGGGTCCCATGCGTACATATAATCAAATGTATATACATACATACTATGTATGAAGAGAAATGATTTTGTGTTCCCATATTTGCGTAGCCCGCACCTAAAAGTGAGGAGCCCAGCAAATACGAAGTGGTCTGGGAACTAATGCTCGAAAAACAAGTAAGAAAGCTCTAGTCGAGACTGCTCGACTACGAGATCCCCTGAACCCTTGGAGCAATAGATATTTTAATAATTTTTCGTGTCTTTCAGCTTACACAAGAAAGACGCATACACACACACACACGCACACACAGGCATACATACACACACGTATACAGACACACATACACACACACACACGCATACACACACAAACGCATACACATACATACATACACACCCACATACACATACACATACACACACAAGCACCCACGCATAAACACGCATGGGCTGCAGTGTGCGCTTACTATAAGAACTTAATTGTTTAATAACTTTTTTTATGGACGTACGATCTTCATGAAACTTTAAGATTATGATTATAACATGAATATGCATGTAATTGTCAAAGCAAAGTCTCTAGTATTTGAAATACGCTTTTTACAAAAGTGTCTGTGAGGGGGTGAATTTAGAGGTGGGGGAAAATTTTAACAAAAACCGAAATTGTATAAATTGCATATAAGCATACATTAAAAATTTGGAGACTCTAGCAATAAAGGTGTAGAAGATATAATTTTATAACTGGTTTTCGATAAGGTTTTTTATCGATAAAAAAAAGATCGGGATGAGTTATCAATTTTTAATGATAAACTCGATATCCGCGCTGTAATTACGGACATTTTAAAAAAAATTTGAAGTCTCTAGCTCTTATATCTTCTGAAATCGACGCGTTCATACATACGGACAGACGGAAGGACGGACAGACGGACGGACAGACAGACGGACAGGGCCAAATCAACTCAG